CCCCCCCCCCCCCCCTCCCCCCCATTGTGATACGTGCGTCCGCGGCAACACCTGAGGGCCATGGAGCGAGGATACCTGGAGCAGCAGGCCGGAAACGGCGACTCGTCGGTCCTGGGGCCCACGGACCCCCCCCCAAAGAAACAATCCACGAGGCCCCCCAGTACCCCCATCAGCCGGGGCCCCGGCCGCCCCGCTGGTCGGCGTCGGTCGACCGCCGGCCGCTTCGAAACCGCCGCCGCCGCCGGCAAGGCGGGGAGCGGGGGAGGCGGCGGAACCCCTTCCTGTTCGGGGGGGGCGGCGGGGACGCTGTTGAGCGCATCCCCGGGGTCTCCGCCGACGAATTTCTCTCCTCTTCCCGCGAAGACGGCGGTGAGTGGTTTTTGTGTACGGGATATATTTTTTTCTAGTCCTTTTTTTTCATGTGCGCAGACTTGCGGGCAGGCAGAGGCAAGGAAGGTGGTGCGAGGGAGTGGGCTGTTCGAGGTTCTTGAGGACAAGTCTTTGCCTCAAAAGAGCAACGCGTTGCGATCAAGTTCGCCCTCGTCCGTCTCTGTGTGTCTCTCCCGATCCCGGTCCTATCCGCCGCGCGCAACTCTGGCCTGCCCCCCCCCCTCTACCGCCACGGAACGATTAGCCATCGGTCCTGTGGGAACACTGTTCCGTCCTGTCGAGGGCGCGTGGTCAACGGTCGAACGTTTAACGTATGCAAAACATGAGCCCCTCCCCGCCAGATGGTCAATTGGTCTAACGGCTTATGCAACACACACACCCCTCCCCCCCCCCCCCACCCCCTGCCACGACCTCCGTCTCTCATGGTGTTGGAACTACAAACTGGCGGGGGTTCCGCAGGATGGTACGGCGCCGAGAGCGACGGCCGTAGGAGACGACGACGACGAGGATGGCATCATGAGCAGGACCAGGATGACGTCCCGGGCGCGACCGCTGTCGCCCAATCGCGGAATGTGAGGCATGCAACGAGGACCTCCTTCGCGCGATTAATAAATGAGTTCATGAGGAAATAGAACAGGGAGGGGGAGACGCAGACCCTGTTCCTAACCTTAGCCCTACCTCAACTTCCCCGATTGTATGCTTTATCCAGCATATCTACATAGCACGAAAAACCCTGCGAGGGCTACTGATGCATGATGACTGTGACACGTTGTTGCATCACCACCCTCTTCCCCTGGCGGCCGGCTGGTCGAGATTGATGTCTAATCTAGCCGGGGTTTTTTGTTTTGCCTAATGTGTCCCCCCCCCAAGGTTTTGATGCATCGGCCTGTGTAAGGTGTGTGTGCTTACCTACCTTCCTGCGTAGGTGTGTGCTGCTTTTGTTTTTTTAACTCCATCCTGCTGTGTTTTTTGGCCACGCTTGCTCGCTGTTCGGCGGCATGGATCTGTTTTCCTCCACAGCGGCCTGACGGGAGGAGATGAGGCCATCGGCACCCCGGAGGACAAGGACCGCGATGCCCAAGTCATCCGGTAAGCCTAGCTTTAACAGCAGTAGTAGCCCTTGAATTTATTTATTCAAGCCTACCACTCTGAGCCTTGTCTATGGCCCGTGTAGCGTCACCGCACACCCCAACTATCTCCCACACGCGAGGCATTCATTCATGGAACCCCCGACCTATCGCCGTACTTGGCGAATCGCAGCAAGGTAGGGCTACCTTTATCCCTAACCGTAACCTTGCCTCCTGTTTGGAGGCGGACAGGCGTGATGGCGGGAGCACATATTTTTTGATAGGTTGGCCCGAGGACCTTGATATGTTTTTCAGAGTGAGGGGAGGAGAGGAGAGAGCGAGGAGACCTTGCCGGGGGGCTTGCCCGCCGCCCAACTGCCCTACCACCATACACGCACGCATTCACGCAAACCCCAGAATCCCTGCAGATCGGTATCGAGTGCTGAGTCCCCCCCCCCCGACCACCACCTGTGCCTTCGATTTTTTTTCAAGAAAATAGAAACGATGCTCAGCCTCTAGACATTCTCTCCACAAGTCCCTTCCCGCATCCTGCTGTACCCCGGTGCTTCTTTTCGCCTGTACATGCCCGTCTCGTCTCCCGATGAAAAAGTCGTTCTACGCAATTCCCTGAATCTTCTGATACCAAGTTTTCCTATACTTGGCATACGTACGCTATCCTCGCAAGTTCTGTCAGTAAACAACGAACAACGAACCCTTTTGAGAAATCATCTTGCCGTTGCCTCCCTCCTTTGCGCCACGCACGGCACAAACGCCGCGGCCGAAAACAAAAAAAACAGGCGGAATTCCGGTCCCTTTCAGGGGTTTGCACCGTCGGAAGACGACGGCGGGGCCGCCGGTGGCGGCGGTGGCGGGGTCGGCGGCGGTGGCAGCAGCAGCCTCATCGGCGTGGCGGACTGGACTCCCCCCCCGGGTCACCGCACGATACCCTCGCCGGCCCGGGCGGCGGAGCTAGAGGCGGAGGTTGCATTCCTGACCCGGCAGCTTTCGGTGCGGCAGTCCCTGGAGGAGAGGCTCAAGGGGTCGGAGTCGGATAAGGCCAGGCTCATCACTAAGGTGGGGAGGGGGGAGGGGACAGGAGTGTCTGTTTTTGGTGGGAGTCAGATCATCACTGAAGTGGGGGGGGGGGG